TCATACTTAACTTATACTTAAGTACTATTATTAAAAGCATGTAAATGTACTTATACACATATTTTGTAAATATACTTGGACTTTACTTCAGCACTAAGGGCTTTTATTAAATAAACACCAAACATTAAAGGATACAAAATGTAGAATAAAATAAGCAAGCAAGCAGTTTACCGTACACATACCTGTAGTATAGCTGTAGAAACAGTCATTAAGCTGTATCCACATGCTGCTGCTGGACAGGAGTACAATCTTATTTTATTGACCATTTGCTTGAAATAAGCTCCTCACTTCTTCCCGTTTCATATCCACCATTTTATTTCACTGTGGCAACTGTGGCAATACCTGCTAATTAATAAGCATTATAAATAATGAATATTTTTGCTTTAATAAAGATCCCTTGCTAAGGCCACTCCAATCATAGTATCCCTGGGCAGGCGGTTTGTTTATTACCATTATTAATTTATTTATTATCACTTGTGTATAAACTGTGTAAATGACCAACTGCAATACTGTAGTTTGGGATGTACATATAGATCTATTCGTGGCTGCTAATATTCAAATTTTTTAACCATGACCAGCAATTACATCTATCATGCATGTAGATACCAGATGTGATACAATATTAAAGCAAAGCATCTTGATGCAGTGTTCTTGAGTTGTTCTTGTTATACTGTTACCAGCTAGCCCATGGTGTTTTTTGAAGCTGCTTTAACCAGTTCTTTTCAAAACTACTTTACTTGCCGTATCTTGGAACTCTCCATTCATTCCAGTTAGTGTTTACTGGCTTGGGTGTGGTTTTTGTCGTGACTGACTATAATCAGCAACAACTTGTAGCAAGGAGCTTGGAGGTAGAGGTTAATACAAGAAGCTAACAGAAACAGAACAAGTGGCTACCTCCACTAAAGCTGCTAAAGAATAAGAAATTAACTAAAGACTGTAAACACTCGGTCTTGTTGTCATAGCAATGCTCTAGTCTCACGTAGCCAGACCAAACCCTTCGTGCCCTCCCGGGAGGGTCTGGTCAACTGAGCATTCCTTCTTCGTTCTGCTTCACCCAAAACCGGGTGAACCGGAT